CTAGGTATAGTTAATAGATAATTTACAACACCCAGCATTCCCGGATATCTGAACAATTACTGTAATGACATTTGTTCTTTAACGCCTATGTCTCAGAAGCGAGCTGTAAATAGCTATGGTACTAGAAACTCAAGAACATAAATTTCATCCTTGTTGTTCCGTTTGGCATTCATTTTTTTATCACATGTTGACATTTATTTGTTACATTAATCAATCAATCATTTATTTTAACACGTTACGTCGAGGAGCTAAAAAACTCATTCAAAATATGAACGTTTGTAAATAAAATCTATAATAATTACAGCTGTATAATTTATATTATTTATTTTCTATTGTATCAAAAGTTAATGAGAACTAACTGAAGAGGTTTTTCTGACAGTAGTGACTAAATACAATCTTTTTATTGGTCATACTTTGAATGAGTAGTTAATGAAAAGATCTTATTCCCGACACCGGCTACACTTTTATCACTTGTTTGCCTCCTCACAAACCATGTGATATCACTTTCGTGAAAAATTGACAGAAAACATGTACTGCATACAGCTTAGCCTAACTTTTTGTTCCTTTCTTTCTCCTTATAGCTTTATTCTCTTGCCTCACACTTCTGTCAAATAAATGGACACACTTCACAATCAGGAGAAGCTGACGTCAAGTTACTTCAACAAGCTGTTTCTATCACTCACTCTCTTCATGTGCTAACAAAGTAGGTGGTGTTGTCTCTCTAAAGCCAGAGCCATGGTTAAAGAGTGGCTCAAAATACACCTATAGTTACTGTATCCCTCTCTAATCAGCCTTGCCCTCCCCTTTTAGGAGAAGAAGATTATTATCCCTCTTCCCTCCCTTGCAACCTGTGATCTTACAGCTGTACAATCAAACTAATGCACAAAAGGGTATATTGATAACATTGATTGGAAATGACACTGTTATGTGCCTTGCCCAAAGCACTAAGGTAGTCAGTCGTTCCTGACATCCAAAACAGGAATCAGGGTTCTTTGGTATCCTTCATTTTCTCACAGTGCTTCATTTTGCCTAAGTAAACATGCCCCAACACCCATTCAAACACTCCTTCCCCCGTCCCCCCATCGCGCTTCCCCCCCACGCCTCAACCCCATCCTCATTCACCCCCTCCAATACCCGAACCTCTTCCTAAACGACGTAACGACGAAAAATTGAGATATAAATAAAAAAAAAGACAAAACAACAAAAAA